TCTTTTTATTGGATTAGAATTTAATTTAAACGCGGTGGCTGATTTGATTGTGTGCGGCTTTATTTTTTATTAAAGAATTTGGAACTGCAGGAACAACTGAGGGATGCTAATAATTCTCTCAGAGAACATAAAGACATGGTAGAAGAACTGAAAGGAAAAATCATAGCCACAGATTCTCAGACTTCAAAAATTCATGAGGAGTTGAAGCAAAAGGTAAGAAAATGTGTGGCGCATTAAAAGCATTACTATTATTTATTATATTTAGAGTCCACCTGACTCCAGAACAATTTTGGGCAGTTTACAGTTTTTAAGACAGAAAAACAATAACAAAAGCATCTGAAGCATCTGAAAACCATATCCCATATATTCCCCCCCCCCGAAAAAAAAAATATTCCACCACCAACAGGGCTCCTCAAACACCCTACTCCAGGGTTTTCAACCTTGGCCACTTGAAGATGTGTGGAATTCTGGGAGTTGAAGTCCACACATGTTCAAGTGGCCAAGATGAGAAACACTGCCCTCCTCTAAGCCCTAGAGAAGCGACCAAGTTTTTAAAGATATTTTTGAACACCATCAGGGTAGGAGCTACATAGATCTCTAGGACAACAGGCTTCCTTTTTCCTGATAAATGGCATTGTTTAATTGAAAGGACCCAAAGTACAGTGACTCTTCCTGATTTTACTGGACAGTCAAAAACCATGAGAGATAGGCAGATAAGGCTTTATAGGTTATAACCAGTGCCTTGAATTGCACGCAGAAACTCACTGTCAACCAGTGCAGCTCACAGAGCATGGGGATTCCAAGGCATTCCCAGTACTGCCCGCACTGCTGCATTCTGAGCCAGCTGTAGCTTCTGAGTAGTCTTCAAAGGCAACCCAATCTAGAGTGCATTGCAGCAATTCAACCATGAGGTGTCTAGGACATGAGTGACCATCTGAAGGGCCTCCCAATCCAGGAACAGATGCAACTGGTGACACCAGATGAAGCTGTGCAAAAGCACTCTTTACCACAGTTGCCACTTGCTCTCCAAGGAGGAGCAGCATGTCCAAGATGACACACAGGTTAAGCACCAGTCTTGAATAGGGGAGTGCAGCCTCCTCCAAGAATAAAGATGGAATGTCTCCAGATCTGGAGGGCCCTAAAGTCCATAGCCACTTGGTCTTGACAGGATTGAGCCTGACTCTTTAGATATCTGCTGTTTAAAGTTCTCCACTGCCCTGGTCAATAATTTTTATTTCAACTAAAGTTCATAATTATAGGAACTCTTGGGGTTTTTTTTTTCTTTGTTCTGTTTTGTTTTGTAGAGCAGAAACTGATGTGCTGACTGATTTTATTTCACAATGTGATGAGTTTTCTCTTTTTCTACATTTAAGGCCGAGGATACTCAGTTAGAACTGGAGAAATTGTTGGTGTACGTAAAATTACAAGAAGATGAGGTTAATACACAGAAGAATTTAGTTCTTGAGAAACAACAAATGTTTCAGAAATTTGAAGAGGAAGTTGAAGAAGAAACAAAACACCTGAAAGAAAAGGTAAGAAAATTATAAGTAGGATAATGTTTATAAATGTAGCTAAGAAAGTTCAAAATGATTTTTTTGGAAGTAAGTTCAGGTTTCTTTGACAATATGTCCCTTTTATATTTCAAATGATTTCTAAAAGCCTCTAATTTAAAAAATTCAAGATTGTACAGCTGAAAAGGAACTCTTATGCCAAAATTACACAGCATGTATTCAGAAAATGGAATTGGTTATGAGTTGTAATGCTGATAGCTTGGGAAGGGGATTAACCAAATTAATAGAAGAATAGAGCCTTTTTCCAAATGCCAGAACATGAGCATGTTATCTTGCTGATGTCCTCTGTGAGGAATTGATCTTAAGGGTAGAGAAAGCTGAACTGGATGGGGCTTTGGTTTAATCCACCATGACTCCTTCGCATTCATAGTCTGAACTTTTCTTACAACTGATACAAAATAAATTAAAACAGATTTAAATCTTGTCCTGACTCTTTCAATTTTGGATGATG